CCTTAAAGAGTTATGTTGATGATGTTTTCAGTAAGGTTTTCCACGTCAAACTCTCTTCCGCATAAATTAAGTATAGAAAGACCAAACATTAAAAGCCATTCAAATTATGAGAAGTTTACCAAAATAATTATGAAAAGAAATAAAACAATAGTACTATACCATATAAAAATATATTAGCCTCCAACCTAATGCACAATGGACGGCTGAGATTTAATCTCAGCCGATCCAATGGTCACTAATTTTTTAAATTTAATTTAATATATACATATAATTATTATAGTTTTTAGGGGTATAAAATTATTAAATTAATATATAAAATTATTATAGTATTTTTTTAGGGTTATAAAATTATAAAATTAATATTTTGCTTATCGTGTATCGTGTTACCCACGTGTATACTCGAACCAACCCGTTATCTTAACAGGTGCTTATCGGGTTATCTGATAACGACCCGATTCGTTATCGTGTCGATCCGAACACCTGTTAATTTTGTGTCGTGTCTTGTCGGATTATCGGGTCGTGTCAAGAATTGTCAGGCCTAGTATACATACATACATACATTATTCAATTGCATGAAAATTCAATGGAGAAATAATTGCGCATGCAATTTCTGAAATTTCAAAGAAAAATAAAAGACAGGAGTAGAAGTGTTGAAAGAGACTCCAAAATGTGGACAGAGAAAAATGCATGGTGACAAAGCGATTCCATGGAGGAAAAGACATGCAATCGAATCTTGGGGATCAAGTTGGCCTTATTCTGTCTTCTCCTTTTTTTCTATATTATTGTTCTATTTCTTGGAGTTTTGTTAAGATGGAGATCTGTGGTATATGGGATGGAAGGACTGAAGCCAAAGGCACCATCCCCTGACAAATTTTGCCATCAAACTTCAATATGATTGTATACGTACCTTGACTATATGACTATATGTACAAATAAGTCATCTCTATTGAGGGTATTCTTTGGCGATTTATGCATCAGTGTGAAACAAAATTCACCAGTGATGACTTTATTATACTATACATGCATTGCACACATGAAAGAAGTCTAAACAAGACTTAAAGCAGAAGATATATACTGCAGAGTTGAGAATATGGCCGACTTATATATTTTTCCTAATTGAATGTCCCTTGTTACATTTCTCATTGTCAAGTGCAAAATATATGATATATATATATATATATATAGTTGGATAAAAAATGGAAAATGTTCAGTCGCGAAGGGCAATATAAATTTTTTATGTTTTCAAACTATGACTTTGAACTATTATTTAATCTTTAATTAGTTGTTGTCCAAGAGTAAAATTCATATTGAGAATCCAACAATATAAAGGTCCGTTTGATAACTATTTTATTTTTAATTTTAGTTTTTACTTTTTGTACTTGAAATATGAGGAAAACATTGGAGAAATGAGGGATGCAGAAGGTTGATGGAAGAAAGGGTAAAGAATAATGAATGAAAAAAAATCTTGAAAAAATAAAACAATTCAAAATAGTTTTTTATATTTTGTGTTCAGTTTACATTTTGTGTTCTTTTTATTACGCATTTCTTCTATATTTTTCACACCGTTGGTCCTCTACTCTTATACATCTCTTATTTATCTTATATATTCTTCCTCTATTAACATAAAAATTAAAACTAAACTCTAAAAACAAAATGCTTATTAAACGACCGTAAGCGTGTGTCTAACAAGACTAGTCATTGCTAGCTATGGAGAGAATAGGCTAGCATGAGGATTGCTGTCATTGTTAGGCATTGCATGTTAAGAGGGAAATTAAAGGACACCTATAATGCAGTAGAGTGCAAGCATGCAGTGCAGTGTGGCACAAAATAAAGTGCTTAATGATTTGGGGGACAAGACAACAATCACTCAGCTACGGGCCATGCTCCCTCCCAAAAGAAGAAATGTTGCTGATAATGTTTTCTGCATTGATTGAACTATATATGCCATTGGTGTTCCACATTGCCAACAATATCACCACATGATATGCTTTGTGATGTCCAAAATAGTTAAACAAATTAAAACACAATAAGAAATATATTTGCTAGCAATAGAAGAAATCAGAAGTAAGAAATTGGTTGATTTAGTTACAAGAATTTTGAAAACATCTCATACTTTGATACCATGAATTTTTTGTTGTTAATTCAGTTATTAAAATTTTATCATATTGTAGATGATGCTTTATTTTAACGGAGAAAATCAAGCAAGCCTATAAATCTTAGTGCCATTTGATCCTCACCGACTCATTTTCCTAGCAACTAACTATTTAAACACCAACTATTATTGTACTCTTAACGCATCTCCATTTTAAATTTTAATTAAACTCTTAAATAAAGTCCACTAGGGTTTTTACTATGAAAGGTATCCAAAGTGAAGATCTTATCTCAATGATAGCCTTGTATTATATGTATTAATTGTTTATATGATCAAATATAGGAGCTGAATTTATATGATCAAATTCAATACCCTCAAATGGCCAAATATTTGGACGTAAATGGAGTATATCTCGTGTCTCTTTAATTACGTGCCTATTTTTTGAAATGATAAAAACATTACATCATTGATCAGATAAAGGATGTGATATCCAACGGTTGTGATAAAACAAAACAATCAGTTTTCTTTTTTTTTTCCAATCTCTTGCTATGAACCTACAACTTGAAATTAATAAATTTTATATTGATAGATGAATTATATGTTGACAATATGTCCTTTTCTGCATGAGAGTAATCTCCCTATAAAACTAGTGCACAGTACAACCAAACTTACAAACCATTTGGTCGATAATTTCAGTGGCTCATTCGATTCCCAGTTTCCTCCACCACCAAGGAACAATCCCTCCTCCATCCAACAATGGAGAGGGAAAACCAAGCCACCGAAAACATCCAGCTTCCTGCTGGATTCCGTTTTCACCCATCCGACGAAGAACTCATCGTTCATTATCTGAAAAACAAAGTCACTTCAAGTCCTCTACCGGCAACCATCATCACTGAACTGGATCTGTATAAGTACAACCCGTGGGAGCTACCACCAAAAGCCTCCTTCGGGGAAGAAGAGTGGTATTTTTTCACCCCAAGGGATCGGAAGTACCCGAATGGAAGCAGGCCTAATAGAGCAGCTGGTTTGGGTTACTGGAAGGCCACGGGAACTGATAAGCATATTTTTAGTTCTTGTGGAACAAAAAGCATTGGGGTTAAAAAAGCACTTGTGTTCTACACAGGACACCCTCCGAAAGGTGTTAAGACGGAGTGGATCATGAACGAGTACAGATTGCTTGACACAACCATGTGGACTTCAAAGCAAAAAGGGTCGATGAGGGTAAGTTGTTTCATCACTTCATATCCTGACAAATATGCAGGTAGGTACGAGTAAGTTTCTTTTGCCGGTTTTGACAGGTGATGGTATGGATCCGGACCATTGATTACGTGAAATTATTACCAAAATATTGTTAGTTATGACTCGTGATTGGATATGCGCGTTGTTCATAATTCACTCAAACAACACAACAAGCTAGTGACTAGCTAACTAGCGTCGTTTCTCTTCCACCTTTGTAATTAAAAAGTTGTTTGCTATGTTGATATTGTTGTTTATGTTCAAAACTGTCGAATAGATTTCATTTAATTAGGCTTAATTAATCTTAGGCGATTTTTGGACATAACTTAGACAAGCACGGAAAAAAAGATAGAGGAGAGTCCTAGTATGTTTCAACATTGTTAAAACCTAATCTCTTCTTCTTCTTTGTACAACAGTTGGATGATTGGGTGTTATGTCGGGTTCGACAAAAGTGCAACAACACCAGGAGCATTTGGGAAGATCAAAACAGCCCTCCTAGCTATAAACTAGGTGCCTACACTAAGCAAGTGGATGGGCCCTGCTCGAATGATACAAACCCTAGCATCGAAATGGTCCGGAACTATCTGTACAAAGATTGTCCAATGCTACCCTACATTTTTGCCTCTCCCGAACTTCCTTACGCTAAAACCGCTTCAAGCATAAGCTTTCAGGGAACTGGAAACACGAAATCTTGCAGTACTTCCCTTCACGAGAACAATTCAAACGAAACCAATGAGCTGCTTTTAGTTTATTCCATTGATGATTTGATTAACCCTTTGAAGAGAAAACCTACAGAAGGAAATGGGTACAAGAGTTTTGTCACACCAAGCAAGAGGATATGTAGCAGAGATTACAAGGAGGAGGAAGTTAATTCCTCGACCAGCCGGGACTGTCGAGCGATGAACTTGTGGGGTGTAGACCAGTCTGGCTCAGCTGATAATAATTTGAATGCAGATCAAGGGAGTTCCATGATCGAGTATCAAGAACTTAGCCAATTAATTGGCTTTCAGGTGTGAGTGGCTAGCTACAAGCAGTGATGAGAAGTGCGTATGTGGATGTATATATCTGTTATTCTGGAGATAAAGGTAAGTATTCGAGATCACAAACAGACGTGTCTCTGACAAAGAGAAACTTACGTGCAAACAAGGCTCTCTACGATGGTGATTTTTATGTAAATTAGCGTGTATGGTTAAATTTGTTATACATAGGGATGAACAAAGCATGTACATGAGTTTGGTGTTGCGAGTTGTAATTAGCTACATCATATTAAGATCCCAAATAGAGACAGAAACTTCCGTGCAAACAGAACTCTACGATGGTGATTTTTATGCAAAATATTGTGTATTGTTGAATTTGTTACACATAGGGGCGAATAAAGCAAGTAAATAAGTTTGGTGTTGCTGGTTGTAATTAGCTACATCATTTAAAGAGTAATCATTGTATCACCAAACTCATTTACAATCAAGGCATGTAAATGAATTTTTATGTATATTCTTAATACGTGGTATCGTAGTATTGGTAAGTGTGAATATTATACATGGTATCGTAGTATTGGTTTCACAAGGTCATATCGCTTATAACAAATTACAAACTTTAAAATTACCACTAATCATCAACTATCTTTAGCTCAATCGATGATTAGGCGACAGAAAAACTCGAGCAGGCCCAAAAATAACACACCAATTCCATGAGAGGATTCATATAAGATCGAAATGAAGCTGTCAATCCTGTCTACTAACTACAATGGCCAACAACAGTCTTTTAACAATTTGAAGTATTCCAACTCGCCTCACCGACTAGCAACGGACACACATTAGGGGACTCAATCAACTTCCACATAAAAGTATGATCATACAGCATGACTGATGTATACAAAAAATACATTCATGGAAGTGAGAATAGACACAATTAATCATGAGACAAACGATCAAATAATATGTATCAAGCACCAAAGTGAGTCCTTAAATTGCAAAACAATACCCTACAAGCCAACACTTGGAATCTGGCCAAACCACCATCTATATCAAACCTCACTTCTTCAGTACACTGCAAATGAAAGTGCCACATCAGAATACGAAAAATGACACATCGTCACAAGAATGCAGATGTTCAAATGATCAAGTTCAACTCTACTCCATTAAACCAATAATTCAGAGAACGTAAGGTCCTATATCTAGTTGTTCAAGTAGCAGTAAAGTCTTCTCATGTATAATCATAGTCTGAACAGTGCAGAGGGGCAGAAGTACAGAGGGACTACTGAACTAGTGTATTAATCTGCACCCACTTCAATTCTTTTATAGTTTGAATTGATCTAAATGATACAACTAATTATTCAAGCAATATTACTTTTTATTTTTGATAAACCTTAAGCCCCCACTGAACTCAATTAAAGACCACTTTCCACTTCAGTTCAAACCCCAAATCCCACTACTATTACAATAACAGAAAATGGCAAAAAAGCAACGACGTACTCTAAGGCAGAAAGAAAAAGTTATTTTACATGTGTTTTGCTTATTTTCCCAAATATCCAGACCCTAGTGCACCCAAAAATGGGAGAACTTGCACAGAATAATTTGTGAGCTCACAATCTTCAAGTTTCAAATTTCAACTGGTTTTGCAAGCTGAAAGCCAAAAAAATGATCTTGCAACCTTTGTTTTTCATTTATGTATTTTCTGTGATTACTTGGTTGCATATTCTGAGGATGACATATTCAATAAACTAAAAAGTTTTTTATTCAATGTTCAAACAGGAAATGTTATTGAGGACAAGTATAAAATATACTCATTGGAAATGTTATCAAATATTCAATTCAAGTTTTGTACTTAACTATGTATTGGCTAGTTTTTTTAATGCCCCCACATGTCAATCCTGGCTCCGCTAAAGAGTGCAATGACATCAAGTTATCTCTTTGGCCCTCTAATAGTACTAACCCAAACTTCTCAATATTTTTCACATATGTACAACCAAATTACACGGAAACACATCTAGACGTTTATCTATCTCAACATGTAGGTTCATTTAAATGGATATGAGCTTACTTGTACAAATACGCAGCAATGCCCAAAATTATACACAGCAACACAATATCAATACAGAAATTTCGGCTAGACCTCAGCTGTAACCAAAACAAAACTTGCATTAGATCTATAAACAAAAACAAAAGAAAAATCTCTAATGTGCAATCATAAACTCAAAAAAGCTGCAATTACACTCACCTGGTTGACTGTGTCCTTCAGTCTAACATTGGTATTCTTAAGGTCCGCAGATGCCTTGTCCACCTATTAAAAAGGGAAGGAACATTTAGTAATTAAATTTGAGAATTCAACTGAACATCTTGAGAGAAATACTAGGAGACAGCAATGTTTTTCACCTTGGAGTCAATCTCATCCATCAAAGGAACTTGCCTATCGAATTCCTATGCATAGCACATGATAAAGTCAGCTGACATATGCATGTTTATTGCAAATGAGCAAGTAGAACCACACAAAAAACAACTAACCTCGTTCATATCCTGAGCCATATTTTTCAACGTATCCAAACCATCTGATATCATATCCAAACCTTGATCCTGTGAGCATGTCAAAATACATAAATACAAACCCACATCCATAAGACTCGCAGTATCTAACTAGCAAGCATGCAATTTCCATTTTTCAAAAAGAAATCCCCAGTGTAAACCAAAAAACAACTCTATATGTATATGACTTGCCTGTTTCATTTTCCGCATTTCATACTCTTGCCTGAAATTACTTGACTCCTCAGACTGTTGGAAGAATTCATTATCAAACCGTCCCTCTACGGGTATACATGAAATATATAAGAAAATTTAACCAAAATTAATCAAATAGAATTCAGCTGCCCATATATTATATTCATAGGCACCACAAAATCTTAATAAAATGTAAGAAATTACCAGAATCAAATTTGATTTCTGTACGAGAAGCTGAAGCTGCCCAACCTCCTCCAGTTTGTTTGGGTGCAGCTGGAGTCCCATCTGGAATATCCTGGATCCTATCTGGCAACGCAAGGACCAAATCATTACGAGCAGCAAAATCTTGGGATGAAAGCCCCTTAACCTGCCAAAAAATAGCATCAATTATGAAACACAATAACCAAAACCGCAAAGTAAGCATTCTTTGTATACTATCCGGTCAACATTGGCAATTCAACTACACACAAACACAGAGGCATCCCACACACAAACCCTTCGACATACTCTCACTAAACAAGTACTAAAATCCACATATACGAGCACAATCGTCTTCCAATTTTCAATTTTGAATAGAATGTGCCCCTCTAAATACAAAAATTATGAAATGCACAATTCTGAAATACGAAAACTAACGAATTTCATTAAATCAGTGAAATGCTGACCTTCTTTACAGCCAACCTCTGCAATTTGGGAACCTCCTCGAGCAATCGAGCCTTGGTCCTACGAATCTCGGCATTCAGCGCAACAGCCGATGCCCTATTTTTCTCTTTCGAAGCAATTTCCGCTTTCTGCAGATCAGAAAATACTCAAATTCAGTTCAACACACCAAAAGAAGAAAAGACCCTAACTTCACCCTAAAATTGTCGGGAATTTCGACCGGATCAGCTACTAGTTTCTCCAATTTTTCCAAGTTTTCTCAGAAACCAAACAGAGATCGAATTGAGTGAAAATCGCGTGTGTATGTGCGTTTCTGAGAGAGAGAGAGAGAGAGGGGGGGGAGGGACCTGGAGGAGGGCTTCAATGTCGGATTCGACGGAGCCGTAGAGGCGAGCAAAGGCGTCGTCGCCGGAGACATTGAGATCCTTCTGCTTTTCGACGTCGTAACGGTCGTACTTCTGGCAGATCGCCTCTACTCTCGTCAAGATTTCGATGACGCTCATCTCTTCTGGTACCTTTCTTCTTCTCGATTACAGAGTTGAAAGTTGGGATTGCAGAGTTTCAAAGCTTGAGTTTGTGGGTGGAGAACCGGAAGAGGAAAGCGGTTTCAAAGAAGAAGCAACACAGCAGCAGGCTACAGCCTGTACCAACTTCAAAAATCTCAGAAAAAATATTTTTCCTATAAAATATAATTATTTATTTTCACGAAATTATATTTAGCTCTGAAAAAAGCACTAGTTTATTGACCAAAAAAAAAATGCACTAGTTTAACCCAATTTACTGGTCTCCACTAAATATTTTCGAATTATACAAGTTTTTCTTTTTATGAAGTGAATTGTTTCTTTTTTTAAGACAAGGTGATATTTTAAGAGGAGAGTTCAAATGTAGAACCTCGAATTTTATTGTGATAATAAGAATTACTGTTCGTTGAGAATTCAACATATAAACAAGGAGCTTGAGTTGATAAAAATGTGCTCAAGTCAACGCTTGGATTCACATTAAATGGTAGAGAGGTGGCCTCGATAATCTCGCTTAATAAAAGAGATATTTTAGAGTTCATTTGGTAAGTCGGATGAGATTGGGTTTGTTAGGTAGGATAGGTTAAGATTGGATTGGAGTGGTTAGGATGTGACTCTTGTCAAGTGTTTGCGTAGAGGTTGGCTCGAACTGGGTCGACCCAAAATTGAAAGGTCTGGACTAAACCTATTTGAAAATAAAAAACTGGGCAAGCGAGGCTGGTTAATAGAAAATTAAAATTGGAACTAGACCTAACCTATTTGAAACAGGTTGGTTTCTACGAGTCCATGGGTCTATTTTTTTTTGTCACCACAGAAGGTAACAACATCGTTCACGTCGTCTTCCTCCCTTTGCTCATTGTTCCTCAATTGTACTGAAGACCACCATGCCAGCAGCCTTAGATCTTCATTGCTCTTCAGTGATGGCTGACCATGGCTATGGAGCTAGAAATAATCCAAAAAATCCAGAAGATGGCACGTGGATTTTTCCTCAAACAGGACAAGATTACCCTTATTAAATGGGCAGGGCACCCAAATACTCTCACGCACAGCTCAGCATCCCAATCCAAACAGCCAATGATGCCTGCTCAAGGCTCCCCTGCTCGTGGCATGGAAAAGTCAAAAGGCATTAATGATAAGAATTAATTACTAAATCATATCTTTAATACATTCTCAATTGAAGATCAACTTCGTCAAGAAAGTAATCCCTACACAATCAATTAGGGATACTTCCACCATTATCCCAAAATATTTTCTCCTAATTAGTATCTTGGGAATATTCTTTCCTCATTCATCCAACAGATGACACACCTTGGCCAATATGATTCCGCCATGTGTAGGGCAAAACTCTAACGCCATGGCCGACCACCTTCTCCTGTAAATGTCTCCATCTCCACCAAATTTTGGTAAGCTTTTAGCTATGCATACAAGCCCTAAACACTCACTCTTTTTAGAGGCATTAACTTAGGCATCGGAGATCCATTAGATAAACCCCACATCTCCATGGGCACGTGAGGTTTTGGTCTTTGATCAAAGTTATTAATTATTTTGTAGGTACAAATTTGTCAAAGTTGAAGATGGCGGATTTTTGTTACCACAAATTGATGCTTTCATTAAAAGCTTGATTCAAATAATCAAAGAAGACTCTCGCTTATTTTGGAATTTTCTGTTACGTTGAATTTCTCGTAAACTCCTAGTCACTTGAATTTTTCCTAGAAAAATTCTATGATTAGTCCCTGGAGAAATGATACAGTGGTAGAAAATTTCGGAATCATAATGAATAGAACACCATACATCTAAGGATACAAACCGAAGGGTTGGAAACCAAGACGTGGACCAACATTGACGATCTTCAAGGTCAACGCGATTGCGGCAGGTGTAATGACCCATACTTGAATTTTACGGTTTTATAATTTTTAAAGTGTGAATTTACGGAAATACCCTTTTAGGCAAAAAACGTTGACTTTTATTGACCACCTTCTCGTGTCATGTAACATCCATTTTCTTCGCATATCATTGTAGTACTCGTCGCTACGGACGCGTGGGCGCAAACTGAATGTAATTTGGAGTTATAATGAAGAAGTTATCGGCGAGCAAAGATATGGGCGAAATGGTCATTTGACCATCATCTAGAAGGCTCAAGATTTTGCTAGAGCAGTCAGATGATGCCACGTGTATGGCTATGATGGAAGGAAATGAGAGATGGACGGAGGAGAGAAAGGATAAATGAGGGAAATGAGAGAGATAGACGAATGAGAGAAATGATAAATGAGGGAAATGAGATAGATAGGCCGAGGAGAGAGATTGCCCAATCAGAAAAGAAAGCAAGGAGGGGAAATAAGGGAGAGAAAAACCACCCAATCCGGATCTTCCATTCGACCCGCAACCCAACCTGTTTGCTACAAACACCCCGACGCCTTTCACGATGTTTCTCTTACGAGTCACGGGGAATCACCAACACCAATCAACTCAACATCCTCATATCTTCCATTCCCACCCAAACTTGACGGATATGGGTCACGATTTCACGATGAATGAACGTCACCTTCTCCGATGAGTTCATAGGGTAAACAGCGATGATCCACCATTTATGAAGCTAGTATAGTCAACCGCCACAATCAATCGACTTCCCTTGAGGTCAAAAACAAAGTCCATGCATTGGTTGGGGCGTCGGAATTCATTTGGATAGCGAATTGAGAACCACCCATTTCTAGGGGTTCAACAATTCGTGGTGGTTTTCAGGCCACTTCTCGGTCAAATTGGACTTCGGCCCAGGTATAAAAGTTGTTCCTCTCATTGAGATATACATTCCTATATATTTTGGGAATTTTTGGAGTTGTTGAATTTTCCAACAAGTCGGGGTTGCCAGCCGTTACATGCAGCGACGTGTGGCCTTCCGGGTCACTGCCTCGTGATGCCTCATGCGGCGGCGCGTGAGGAAACCAGAGGTTATTCCTTAGTTTTTTCGACGTGTCGAATTCGAATTCGCTGTCTGTTTTCCCAAATTATAACGTTTTAGTAGAGTTTTACTAAATGGTCCCTAATTGTGATTAGGTGCATCCGTGGAAAGTGACTCCATCCTCGCTATCTCGTGCGGTTCCTGGGCAACAAAATATATGTGAGTGAACCCCTTTTTAACTTGCATGTTTTATAAAATATTAGGATTGCATTCATGAAAAGCATGATTTCATGATTTTACGTTTTATGCATTATTTATGATTTATCAAAATTATGTTTTACGAAAGTTATGAATTATTAGATTTTTGTATATGAAATTCTATGAATTATCAATATGATTTATTTTATGAATTTACGAATATGATTTACTATGGATTTATGAAATGCGGTTTTGAGCTTTTGAGCTCCAGTGTTTTAATATGAGTTTTGAGATATGTTTTTTGTACTTATCTAGTGGGTTATCACATGACGCATACAAACAACACGGGTATGATGTCTATGGCCATAGGACACAGTGGAAGAGTAGTGAGATATTTATGATATACCCCCAGTTTCACTGCTGAAAGTAGTGTCGGATAGCTTCACTAGCCACGGCTAATGTCGATGTGTTTTGATGGACAGGTTATTCAGCTTCACCTTCGGGTGATGTATAGGTTATTCAGCTTCACCTTCAAATGATGGACAGGTTATACAGCTTCACCTTTGTGTGATAGACATGTACTGCCTTCGAGTGACTATAATACCCCTAGTTGAGTACCTCATTGAGGATATTTACAGAGGTTTTACGGATTTTCCTTCGGGCGGCTATTGTCACATCCTGGCCCAGAGCCCTCACCACATCCCGAGCTTAACTCCACCATAGCACGGTATTGTCCGCTTTGGGCCTCGACCATGCCCTCACGGTTTTGTTTCTGGGAACTCACATTCATACGAGAACTTCCCAGTGGGTCACCCATCATGAGATTGCTCTCATGCAAACTCGCTTAACTTCAGAGTTCCGACAGAACCCGAAGCCAGTGAGCTCCTAAATGCTTCATGCTAGGAAGAGGTTGGAATATACATATAAGGCTTACAGGATCCACTCCCCTGGGAGATGTGGGATGTTACAATCCACATTCTTAGGGGCCCGATGTCCTCGTAGGCAGACATCCGCCCAAGGATTGGCTCTGATACCAAATTGTCGCATCCCGCCTCGAGCCCCCATCACATCCCGGGCTCGACTCCACCTTAACACGATATTGTCCGCTTTGGGCCTCGACCACGCCCTCATGGTTTTGTTTTTGGGAACTCACACGAGAACTTCCCAGTGGGTTACCCATCTTAGGATTACTCTTGCGCGAACTCGCTTAACTTCGGAGCTCCCAAAATGCCTCATGCTAGGAAGAAGTGGGAATATACATATAAACATTTTCATGGCATGTAGAGTTTTCAGAAAACTTACTATATGTATAGTACTATATACATTTTCAAAACAAAGGGTTAGTATGTTCATAAAAAATATCAGTTTTTCGTATTATTAGTATTATTACTAACCTTTTTTGTTTTATGCCCCCTCAGGAGTTAGAGTCGAGGCACATAATCCCGGTGTCAAGGCACTTCCGCTCAGGCATCTTAAAGTCTCCTATGTGTAAAACTCATTTCTTGGTTCGTACATTTCTATAATAAATCTTTCACATTATTATTGGTTAGTTATATGCTCAGAACACGATTCTGCATTAGTATATTTCTTTCTGATCACATATTTTAATTTGCATGCATGTTTAAAATGGCTTCGTCACCCTCGGGTGTCAGCTAGCACGTGCCTACCTTGATATTTTGGGTTATCGGGGTTAGGGCGTGTCAGTTTGGTATCAGAGCATGGTTTGTTCAGAGCATACTTATGATCTTCTCCTACTCTAGTAGTGTGTGGGCCTTGATATCATTTGGATGTCATAACTTTCGTTTCTTAATGTCATTCGGCACGATTGTACAATCTTCATTCTGCTTGAATAGTCATATCTTATTTGAAGCATAAGAAATTCGTGTCGGGA